TGTTGGAGACACAGTCAAATTATAACTCTCTACTTCTTCCCTTGGCACTGCTGGTGCCCAGGAGCCTACCTCCCCAACCCAAATCCCCAAGAATTCTTTCAATTTAGCGACTGTCACCCCAACCAATCTTATTAACCAGTAAGGCCACTACCCAAGGATTAAATAAAACTTGCCTGTTGCCTGTTGACAAGACTGTATTCAATCTTGCCTAGATCACAAAGTCAGGGTGGTTATGCTGGTAGAGTAACTAGCAATGAACTGACTATGGATCCAGATCTGCCAGCTGTTGGATGTGTGTTGGTATCCTGGAAAGCTACTTTTACTTTATAAAAAATCTGGGTCCTCTTCCACCCTACCCAATTCATGCCAGAACCAAGAGCAAATTAATCAACATATATTTATTGAACACCTACCATGTGCTTACCTCAATGGTTCTCAACCCTGGTTGTTTACTGACAAAGGAGTTCCCAGATATAATTTATTTTTTGATGGTAAATTCTGATGCAACATGTCTGATGCCCTGGCCTTTAGGCGTTAAAGAATACAAAAGAAGTATAAAATACAGTTCTTGTGTTGAAGAGTTTATCCACAGTCACAACAGAGTAACTTGTAATAGTATGTTTGTTCACTAATTTGTAACCCTTTTGCAATATTATCAATCCTTATGAAACAAAAGAAACTGAGGTAGTCTGGATAACAACTGCTCTTATTCCCCAGTCCAGTCACACACCAACTGCACCTGCAACTCCTGATACACTGTTCCATACCCCTTCTATCTCCCAGACAGTGAAAGTACCATTCTCAAGAACTATGGAGATAACCCAAGTAGGAAGATGAACTGAGGCCCTCAAGAGGTGGTTGTTTGTCCTGAAGACCAGAATCTCTCAAATTCATGCCACCAAGGGCCTTCTTTTAAAGAGAAGAAACAGAGGGACTTCCCTGGTGGTGCAGTGGTTAAGAATCCGCCTGCCAATGCAGGAGACATGGGTTTGGGCCCTGGTCCAGGAAGATCCCACACATCGCGGAGCAACTAAGCCTGTTGCGCTCTAGAGCCCGCGAGCCCCAACTACTGAGCCCACGTGCCACAACTACCGAAGCCTGCGTGCCTAGAGCCCATGTTCAGAAACAAGAGAAGCCACCGCAATGAGAAGCCTGTGCACCACACTGCAACAAAGACCCAACGCAGCCAAAAATAAATAAATAAATAAATTTATAGGAAAGAAAGAGAAGGAAGGGAGGGAGGGAGGGAAGAAACAGGGACTTCCCTGGTGATCCAGTGGTTAAGAATCCACCTTCCAATTCAGGGGATGCGGGTTCGGCCCCTGGTTGGGGAACTAAGACCCCACATGCCGTGGGGCAACTAAGCCCACGCGCTCTAGAGCCTGTGTGCCACAACTAGAAAGCCTGAGCACTGCAGCTACTGAGCCCGCGCGCCACAACTAGAGAAGACCACACGCCGCGATGAAAGATCCCACATGCCTCAACTAAGACCTGACGCAGCCAAATGAATAAATAAATATTCTTTAATAAATAAATAAAGAGAAGAAATAATTCTTTAACCTCCAACAGTACCAGTCCACCTCACTCTATAGTTGAAGTGCCCAAGAAAAGCAAAGAGTAGACTGAATTTTTACCTAGAGGTCCTTGGCCATTTAAAGAAATCACCCAAATTCATAAGACTGGTAAACTCTAGTTTTTCAAATAGCATACACTTGAAATAAAAAATACTCTAGGGCTTCCCTGGTGGCACAGTGGTTGAGAGTCCGCCTGCCGATGCAGGGGACACGGGTTCTTGCCCTGGTCCGGGAAGATCCCACATGCCGCGGAGCGGATGGGCCCATGAGCCATGGCTGCTGAGCCTGCGCGTCCGGAGGCCACAACAGTGAGAGGCCGGCGTACCGCAAAAAAAAAAAAAAAAATCTAAATATATTTTAGTAAACTCCTTACTAAGATGAACAAATTGTGGAGGCTTAAAAAATTAAAAATTAAAAAATTTTGATCTAAATCTCATCCAGCAGCAATGACCTCATACTAAAGACCACCTGGAAGGGAACATCAGCTTTAAAATTCTGCAAACATGAATCTACAGATCCTAACCTGATTCGTCTCTCTCTGAATTATATGGGAAAAGGTACAATTCTCTTAACTGCTATACAAAAATTGATGAGCACAAGACCCTATAAATTACTTTTTAAAAAAACAAGGCAGGGTGTCATTCAAACATCTAAAACAGGGCCCAATGACAGTATTAAAAGGTAAAATTTGGTACTTAAGGAAAAATGAATATTGGCATATATTAATTAGAATAAGACTGCCACATGAAAGAAAAAAATGTGTCTTCTACGTAATACTGTTTTTAGGATCCGTGACTTTAAAATTAGCTTGGTTTACAATATTTGTCCTTGTAATTGTTATTGTCATCATACAAGTTTTATCCATAAAAGTCCACAATCCCTTAACTTCAATTCCAAAATCCAAAAGGCTATAAACAAACAAGTTTTTCATTATTCATTTGGCGGCAAATCCTGACATGTGAGGCTATGTATAGTATTTATTTATCCCAGTTGGTGTGAACATTCTGATGTTTTACTGAAGAAATAGTAATGCATTTGATTACAAGGTGCTGCCCCACACCTTTCTGGGATGTTACATAACATACAGTATATACCATATTCCTTATCCAAAATTCAAAAAATTCTAATTTCAGAAGCACAACTGGCCCCAAAAACCTTTTTTTTTTTTTTTGGTCCCAAGGTACTGTAGACTGGTATACTAATTAAGACTAAATCTTACATAGAAAATATAACTAATACTGAGAGTGAATGTAGATTTTACATGCAATAAACCCAGTGTCTTAACTACTCACACATACACAATCCGGTAAAATAAAGCATTATAAAGACTTAACAAACGTCAAAAAAAGAACATACCATTACGTGTTTTTCAGGTGATGGGGACATTTGCATCATGCAATATCTAGATCAATTCCTCTTTGATTGAAATCCACTAATTTAAATCACAGTTAAAAAAAAAACAAAACCCAAAGACTGCGATTGGTAATTATGTTGAAAGAATCATCCACTAATAAACAACATATTCGGTTCTGATTTTTTAAAAATTATCTCAGAAAGTTTAAGATTTAAAATTCTTTCATTCTAGAATACAACTTCTGAACGTTGAACAAATTACAATTGACTTTTTCTGTGAAAACAGAGCCTTGGACAGGGGACAACAACAGAACAGTCCTTAAAGATATTTCAAAGCGAAGAAGAGTTTCACAGTTCTTTCCTTCCTTCCTCCTTCAGTTGCTGCTTTTCTGGTTTTAGAATTTCAAACAAAGAAATACATATTGGCTCCAATGCTAAGAAACGCCCTCTTTCTCAGCAACTTCCTCTTCCAATTTTCTTCCCTACCGTAGACATATGAGAACAATACACACTGCCGTCCTACCATGTTGATTAACAAAAAGCTCTGAGGCTTGGAAAAATTAAGGGCTGCAATTTATCTATACTACCCACTCCAAGTCCACAATCTTCACTCATCTAGAAGTCAAATAACAGGGAGCAAAGAAAGGAGTATTTCACTTAATCAAGAGGCCGGCTATTGAACCTTTCACCCCAGGAATCCAAAGAGTGGATTGCACTAACAAATGGGAAATTTCTTCCACCCCAGGAAAACTTGGCCGTCTTAGGGAAGAGAAAAAGCTACTGGGCTAGCACCGCTCTGAACTAAGAGTCAAGTCTATGCACCAATAGTTGGTGAACTTTCTTCCACAGGCCATGCAGTCAGGATTCAAACTGAGTTCTCTGAGGTTCTGATCCACTTCAAAGTGACTTTTACAATTTAGTAACGGTCCTTTCCAACTCACAGACTGCACAAAGGGGATGTACTTATAATTAACCATCCAGAGATCAAGACCCATCCTGTCTACACGCCAGAAGTCAATTCAAGTGTCTGCGACAGGAACCTGACCCCCATCTGTGACAAAGCAAACTTCCTTTAAGTGGACAATTCCCCCTTGCTCAGTGACTCTCAAAGGAAACACCTCAGTGTTGGTAAGCTGTGTACCTTACTGTGTGACCTTGGGCAAGTTACTTAACTCCTCTGAAACTTAGTTTCCTTATGTGTAAACTCTCAAATGAGGCTGTAAAAACCAAACAAGAACATATGTTTGACGCATAGTAGGAGCACCATAAATGTTCCCCCTCTTCCTCCTCCTAACCCTCCTGAATTCTTTGGGGCCTAAATTTCAATCATAGCCCCAAAAGGCTCCAAGGATTCCTTCCTCTTCTCTGATTCTATGGAGAACTAACTGTATAAAACTTCCCCCATCTCAGAGGCTCTAGGATCCTGGAGGACCAAGAAAACGGGACTCCACCTCATCATAGCCTAGGGTCCATCCAGAGCCTTCCTCAATGGGCCCCTTTAGCTAACTTTCCTCCTTACTCTGCAGACCATCCTGTACACACACGTACGTACACACACACACACACACACACTCCTCTCCTCCACTCTGCAACTTAGGCCAGAGGTCTCAAAGAGCACTTCAATGCCTTCATGGTCCAGATGTGGAAACTGAGGCTCCGCCTGGAGAAGAACTTGCCCAAGATCTCAGACAACGTCTGGGATCCAACTCATGTACATCTGCCTGCAAAGCCTTCGTTTTACAAATGGGTAAAACGAGGCCCAGAGAGAAAAGTGACTTGCCCAAGGTCACACGACGAGCTGGTGGCAGCGCTAGGTCAGCTTGGGACACTTTCGCAGCTTCACAGACTCGCGGGCCCCTCCAAGCCTCCGAGGGGATCTCCGGCACACCTCTCCCTGGGGAGGTGAGTGTATTGTAAGACGCCACCCCTCGCTGATCGCTCACCGGGTCTCTGCCGGTCTGCGGCGGGAGGCGCGGCACCCACTCTCCCAGGACCCTGAGCTGCTTGGGAGGGGCGGCCCGACCAGGCCCGGCGCCTCACGGCCGGGCCAGCCCGCGGGGACTTGATGCTCACCTGCTCTCGCGCGGTCGCCCTCAGCAACAGAGGGGCAGACCGGCCGGCCGCCCTTCTCCGCACTGGGTCTGTTCTCGCCGGCCGCGTCGCGAGCTGCCACACAGCCAGACCCCCCCCTCAGCGCGCTACGCCCCCAGCCGCGCTAAACCGGCCCGCGTCCGCCATTACGCGATTCCCCGCCCCGGGACGCAGCCACACCCCGCCAAGCGCCCTGATTGGCTCTCTGCCCCACCCGCCTGGGGCTTCCGGGCATTCCATTGGCCTGAGTAGAATGTCAGTTAAATAGTTACGCAAACGACGTACTCAAGGGTACTGTCCCGGGAGCTCCACCCGAGCTACTTCCGTAATCGGAGTAAACAGCAAGGGGCAAACCAAGTGAAGTGGGGGTGGATTTTAAACTAAACCAACTCCTAAATTCAAGGTAGGAAAATCCCACCTAAGAAAGTGTAAAAACGCGTACAAAGTGTATTGAGGGGTAATTCGTCTTGTTAGAGTTCAAATAACCAGTACCTTTGGTGGAAGGAAGGGGCCAAGCCTATGAACTTTCTGTGGACACCCCTAAAGTTGGTGGTAGTTTTATCCCTTCCCTCCCGGTCTCAGGCCGGGCAAAAAGTAGGGTGGGGAGAGTGAGTCATAAGCTCCAGCCCGCTGTTAAAGGATCCGTCCGGGCCGAGGCCCGGGGTCCTGGGATTGGGAGCTGGTTCTGAAAGGCCAGGGTCAGGTGAGTTGGACCCTGGTTCAGCCGCCACCGCAGTCTGCGACCACAGACAGCTCTCTGAACTTACCTGAGTCTCAGTTTGTCCTGCAAAGTAAGAGCAGTCATATCTGCCTCGTGCCCTGGGGTATTTGTTAAGGATTCATGCATGAGTGTGTATATGTGCGCCTTGTCGATTATAAAAGGTTGCAGGCTGGGTATCAGTGTGACAAATTCACCTGTACCTCAGTTAGTTCTCTAGAGCAACTGTAAGGCAGATACTGTCCTCGTTTTGCAGAAGAGGAAACAAATCTCCATGACTTACCCTGAGTCACCCAGGGAATTTGAAACGACCCTGGGACTCAAACCTGTATGTTTTGGCTTCCATTCCCGTATTTCTCCCTTCCAGGTGTGGTGTCCCCTGAGAGAGACTTCCCTCCCCCAAGCCCTTAGCATTCCAGGGAGGGACTTGGGGGTGCCAGGCCAGTCCCCCATCTCTCTGGTCACCATAAACTTAGGCACAGGCCACCACCCAGCTATTGTTAATCACCAAGGTTCCTGGGAAAAGTGATCCTAGGGGTGCACCCGAGCTGTTTCTGGGGGCCTAGGAACCAGGAAGTGGGTAAGGGATGACAGGTGGTTCAGAAACCCAGGTAGAATCCAGAACAAGGACGCAGAAGCTCCAAGAGGGGCAGTCTCCATTCCAGGACTTAAATCCATGCCTCTCTGCTCTCAGAACTGGGCTCTTTTCACCACAGAATTGTTTTCCTCAGAAGGGCTGCCTTGGCTATAATTCCTAGTCCTTTTCCCTCTCTGGAAAGGAAGGAAGCCAAAAAGGGAGTGGGAGGGAGAGCAGCCTAAGACTTTAGAAGGGCAGAAACTACCAAGTGGGTGGTGCTGACAAGGCCCCAGTGCCTGCTGAGTCAGTGACCTCCAGGCTCAAGTTGGGCAGTGTGGTCTGACAACCAATGACTATTTAAATCCTGACTGTGGCCACTGGGTGCTGGGAGGCAGCAGGTGCTATGTAGAGGTCAGTGACTTTAGGGGCAGACTGACCCAAGATGAATCTAAGCTCCACTACTTTCTAGCTCTCAGCCTCACCTAAGTCTTCTCTAAAATGGGAACAGAGCAGTTGTGAGGATTCAATGAGTTAATTGTGGAATTAATGAGTCATGTGTGTAAAGTGCCTGCTAGCTATTTATTCATTCATGGATTCATCCATTCAGTAAAAAATTATTACACACCAACCATGTGTAGGGCAGCCTGCCAGTGGTGCAGCTACAATGAGGAGCAAAACAGACTCAGACCCTCATGGAGCTTACAGTTTGATGAGGAAACAACTTGTTAAACAAATGATCAGACAAATCAAAATACAATTAGAAACAGTGATAAGGAACAGGAGGCAAAGTACAATGTGTTTATGAGAGTTAATGTCAGGGAATGGGGTGGGGACACAGGAAGCTTCCTGAAGAGGTGAGTTGGTGAGTGGGGGTTTACTAAGCAGCTGGTGGTTGGGAGAAGTGTTGCAGGCCAAGAGAAAGGGTGTGGAAGGCATCTAGGCCAAGGGGGATAGTGGCATTGGGGAGGGAGGGCGGAGCTGTTGCTTAGAGCCTAAACAAATAAGGTGTTACAGGGGAGGGAACCTGGCCTTGAAAGTGAGGCGGTTCTCCAAGGGTCTGTGTTCTTTTCTGATAGTCCCTGCTTTGAGGCCAACCCACCTGGGTTTGAATCTTGGCTCTGCCATCTCACCTTGGACTGTATGACCTTAAGCAGTCACCACACGTCTGTGCCTCAGCTAATCTTCTGAGAAATGGGAATAGTGATAGAAGGGCATAAGGTGGAGAGTGAGGATTCAGTGTGGAAATGTGTATAAAACATTCTGGCGCACAAAAGTCACTCCATAAATGATGCTTGGTCTTCGCGGCATGGAAGGAAGTGAGCCTGAGGCAGCAGATGCATTTGGAGATGCATTTGGGAGAGAGCTGATATAAGCACCTGTGCACTGGGCAAGTTGTCATCTGACCTTAATTGTCATAGAAGACATTGGAGTCAGGCAAGCCTGGGTTCAAATCACATCTATACTAATTCCTAGCAGTGTGACCTTGGGCAGGTGACTTCACCTCTCTGAGCCTCAGTTTCCTTATCTGTAAACTGGGGATCATAATTGCTTCTATTTCCCAGAGCTGTGAAGATTAAATGAGATAATAAATGTGAAGTAACAGAGTAGTTGGCACATAAGTAGCAGTTGTTGAGTGTTCACCTTAATGATAGTTATTATTATTATTGATGTCAGCAGTTACTACCCGTACTAGATAAGATTCTGGGGCTTTGCTTGAAGGTTGTCTGGCAACAGGAGCCTTCGTTTCTCCTTTTAGGCAATGGAGATAGGTTGCTTTCAGAGGGAGTGGTGTTGTGCATCTTAATACTAATACTGGGAATTCCCTGATGGTCCAGTGGTTAGGACTCTGCTCTTTCACTGCCAAGGGTGCGGGTTCAATCCCTGGTCAGGGAACTAAGATCCCACAAGCCGCACGGCACTGCCAATAAGCACTAACATTGAGCATTTGCTATGTGCCAGCCACGTGCTAAGTGTTTTATAGGTATTAACTCATAAATTCTTACAGCAATCCTATAAATTAGGTCCTGTTATAATCATCATTTTACAAATGAGATAAAGGAAGCACAGAGAGGTTAAGTGACTTGCCCAAGGCCAGCCAGTCAAGAAGCAGCATAGCTGGAGTTTAAACCCAACCTTGGAACTTGAGAGGGCTTGCTGGTCTTGAGGGGCAACCCCTCCCTCTACTACCCAAGGAGTTATCACCTGGAACGATGAAATAATTCATTGCCCATAAATCCCAGGTTCTGAAGACCAAGCCCCATTCCTTTCCCCCCAATTCTAAAAAATAACCCCTGCCTGTTTCCTGTCCCCTGAGGCTGATAAGATCAGGGAACAGAACTTCTCCCTCTGCAAGGGGAAGCAAAAAGACATGTAGAATCACCAGAACTGGGTTTGAGTCCCAACTGTGCCACTTAATGGTTCTGTCTTAGCCAAGTCACACCCTCTCTCTGAGCCTCAGTTTCCTTATCTATAAAATAGGGGTGATAATAGCTCTGCCTACAGGGCTGTTGTGAGGAGCAGAAAAAACAAGTCCTGCATAAACTATAAAGTGCTCTCAGCACAAGCCTTCCTCTCCTGTTGCTATGGGGATGGCAAGCACTCCAGGAAAGCAGCTGAAGCCAGTATAGCGTATAGCAGGAAAATTGCCATCTCTGGAAACAGTCCTGGATTCGAGTCCCAGAACTCCCTTTTATGCCTGAGTGACCTTGGGGGAGTCAGCCTCAGTTTTCTCATCTATAAAATAGAGTGAATAATACAGATCTTGTAGGGCTGGAGACAAAACATAGTGAAAGAATGCATAAAAAGCCATGAGCCAATGCCTAGTACAGAGCTGGCAGAGCACAGTCGGCTAAGGGATTCTAGGGATTCAGAGCAGAGGGACCAAGGAGAATCACCCTGGCCGCTGCACACCACCCCTGCCTGAGGGCAAGAGGGTGGAGAGTACTGTGATCAGAGCCAGAACGGACTCCAGCCACTGCCCTGCCTCTGGCATCCTCAGCTCTGGCTGGGTCCACTGCATCTCTCTCTCTCCCTCTCTCTCTCTCTCTCTCTCTCTCTCTCTCTCTCTCTCTCTCTCTCTC